TTTTTTTGCGCGTGGGACTCCGTTGGACCATCACCCCACTGCCTGAGACTTTTAGTGGGCAGTGTGTTGGAATGGAATCGACTAAAACCACACGGTGGGCCATACTATAGCTAAAATAGAGCATCAACTGACCTTGCAACAAGGCAATTTTTTATGGTTTAATAACTATAAAACTATTCTCGGACGATACATATAGTATGTGGAACTTAATAAACTATTTATAACGCTTGCAATACTCGTAGATACTTAAATTAGAACTCATCACCCGGTGCTTAAGTACGATCTTAGTTCTGTCATTATCATCTCTGCCTAGTTTGAGATCAGATGTCAGTTTGAGATGTGTGAGGTTATTTTATTATTATATTATTTAGTAAGAAAGTTCTACAGTTTTTCTAATTTAGCTCCATACTAGCTTCATGACAGAATAAGGTTTACTTTTTGTTTAATAATAATAATAATAATATATATCTCACACACTCACACACGGCCGTCTGATCCCAAACTAGGCAGAACCTGTGCTATGGTAACCAGACTGCTGATGAACATACTTATATATTTCTAAATACATACATATTATAGATAAATTACACCCAGACACAGAACAAATGACCGTGCTCATCACACAATATTTGTCCTGGTGGGAACCGAACCCACGACCTCCGGTTAAGCAGTCAGGGTCACTAACAACAAGACCAACAGGAATTATTACTTTGGGAATTAGCGGTTTTTTTAATTGCGACCTTTAGACCACGTTGCTCTAGTGGTGTTCACAGGCGGACTGGCTGGCTGGCTCAGTTTTGAAAGCCCTCCGTCCTAGATTAGTTGAGGTAGAAGGTTTTGTATTCACCCGTACATTTTCAATACGTATTGTTCACTGTGTACCGCCGCACTATACTAACACTGTCCCTTCTCCCTAAAATGTAAACAAACCGAAGTGTTCCGGATAAAGATAAACCTCTCAGCCTTACCATACGAGTCATTTGGCCCTGAAACCGCACCAATTACCTTCAACGCGACCGATAATCTTCATGTGGAATCATGAATCCTCTACTCGGAGGCAATCCGGCCACTTTATCCTGACTTGCGAAGTAGAGAATACAACAACGGGTAAATATTTGCTCCTAGTCAGTCCCAAAAGCTTTGTTTGCTAGCGTTACGTTTTTTATTCTATACTAGCTGACCCGCGCAACTTCGTCTGCGTCTCTCAATTTTCTCCGTTTTTGAAACATTCTTCATTGATGCTCCGCTCCTATTGGTCTTAGCTTGATGATATATAGCCTATAGCCTTCCTCGATAAATGGGCTATCTAACACTGAAATAATTTTTCAAATCGGACCAGTAGTTCCTGAGATTAGCGCGTTTCAAACAAACAATCAAACAAAAAAAAACAAACAAACTCTTCAGCTTTATAATATTAGTATAGATTTTAGAATCCTTGTTGTTTAAAGGTAAATTATGAAATGAATATACAATCCATATTTATTGGTTCCTGTCCGTATGATGATAGATTAAGAATACGGAGTGTCACTCTTATTAATCCCGTGGGTGTCGTAAGAGTCGACTAAGGGAGCAAATTACGCAGGACAACAGCACTGCAAAGAGAATTAAACATTGAATCAACCAACCAACTAACTCGTCTGGCCAGCGTGGTACAGTAGGCCAAAACCTCCTTTCTATGGAGAGGCCTATGTCCAGCAGTGGTCACTATGATAATTCATTGGTTGTGTTTGTTAACGGTAGCACTAATATTTTATTTCTATGCATATTGTCAAAGTTAAGGTCCTGCCAACTAAGACATTATATAAACTTATTTGGTTGTTAGCTTAAATACAGATGAATATTTGTGATCATGGGCGTAGCCACGGTGGGGCAGAAGGGGCACTTGCCCCACCCTGGCTCTGACCTGAAGGTACCTAAGCAAACCTAAAAAAAAAGTAAATTATCTAGGTACTAACTTGGCATACGCCTAGAGCCCAAACGGCTGAAGTTAGAGACACATTTTTGGATGGAAGATTTCGTGGTGTGGGTAGGTGAGCAATAAGAAAGTGTTTTGAATAATTCCAATTATACATACGAGTACAGATACTGGGTGCTATAGGGTGTAACCTTTTTGTATGAAAAATAAACCGGGGTACGACCGCGGGTATAGTTTGCTAGTTACATATTATTTTAGACCTCTGCCCCACCCTGAGCCCATGGCTAGCTACGCCCATGTTTATGATATACTTAATTCCCTTGAAAAAACTAACTTCTAAGAAACAGGATTGCCCGAGTTTGGATGACAAAGATCATGGATTATAATTATTAACAATGGTATATGTACTCATAAACTAGCTGTTATTAGATATAGACCTATACTTTTTTTTTTTTTTTTTTTTTTTTTATGGTTACGGGTTGGAAAATCCCTTCGGATCTCCGGCTCCTCGGGGACTCAGAAGCCAGGGGTATGTGGTGATTCCACTAAAAACCACCCCGACGGCCGGCCTTAGGTGTCCTACTTTGGGGAGGACCCGGACCATGTTATTTCAGGTCCTCCCCGAATTGACACCTTGCCTAATCAGGCCCTATCCCAGGGGAATAGCTACTAGAGACGTCTCTAATTGTAATAGATGAATGTTTGAAGCGTGTACAATAACTTGTCAAAGAATGAAACACGGAAATGAATATCTTATATTGTACTAAGAGTTTTTTCAATCAATTTTTGAAAATAAACTGCAAATATTTTAACTTATCTTATCAAATATAAAGTTAATGGAGGTTATTATTTAAAGATAGGACGACTGGATGGCGTAGTGGTTTGTGTAACGGACTGCTATTCCAAAGGTCGCGGGTTCGATTCCCGCTCAAGTCAAACATTTGTGTGCATGAACATTTGATGTTTGATTTGGTCTGGGTGTTTCGATGTATAATATGTATGTATTTACAAAAAAAAAGTATATATGTATTTATATCAGTTGTCTAGTACCCATAGTACAAGCTCTGCTTAGTTTGGGACTAGACGGTGTTTGTGTGTATGTGGAAAAAAAAAAGAATTATATATCTACGGAGGTACCAATGACAGAGGAAAAATAACAATTATAAGAAATGTATTTTTATCTATTCGAACATCGCGAATATTAAATGATATTGTCTATCCAGCTGGGGTATCTAATACTCGAACAATGACACGCATTTTTAATCTGTTTACAAATCTAATCTTTTTACGGTTCAGCTATTCTCGGACGATAAAGATTCTATGTAGAACGTCACTGGCTATTTATATAGCCCGGGGACAGTAACTCGTGTAAAAAAGGTATTAATCGATTAATAATATAAAAATATACAACGGCTCTAGCGTTTTAACTGAATGAAAAACTGCCAGTTTTGCAGTCTCATAAACGAGAGCCGTTTTCACTGTCCCGTCAAAACTTATAGTGTGTTAGATAATTTTTCTGTTATTAATAAACAATCTAACAGAACGACTGCTTACGGAGTTATTTAACGTGTATAGGAAACTGTTCTAGGTGTAATTTATAGCCACCTGTTACAATATCTTGCCAAGAATTTGTTAATTGCTACAAGTACTGTGTAACAACAACGGTTTTTATACAACAAACGCTTTATAAACGGTATAACAAATTTACGAATCATCAAATCACACAACGCCATCTAGTCCCAAACTAAGCAGAGCTTGTACTATGGGTACTAGACAACTGATATAATACATACATTTTTTTGTAAATAAATACATATTATACATAGAAACACCCAGACCAAATCAAACATTAAATGTTTATGCACACAAACGTTTGACTTGAGCGGGAATCAAACCCGCGACCTTCGGAATAGCAGTCCGTTACACAAACCACCACGCCATCCGGTAGTCAAACTCTTTAGAATGACGGATTAGAATGACGTGGCATTATTATTCTTCATTTCACTATTATCAATCCACCTATAATAGTCCACTGCTGAACCTAGGAGAACCTAGATATCTTAATATCAGCTGTTCCCAGACCCCTCTTATCTCAGTCGCGGAGTGGCACACCATGTGGCTTTAGTCGGTTCGATTCTTACACACCACCCCGCCGCAATTACACACGTTAAATGATAACAGGATTTGTAATAAACACATTTTATATGTCATTAAATACTTGTACATGATGGTTTAACTACAACTAGATATAGTACAATTGATGGTGCTCCTTACATTATGATTTGTTCAGGACTGGAATATAACCCATATCCGGACGACACCGCCTAAGCAGTCAAAATGATTAACCACTAGAGTAACAGGCTAATCAATTTATGTGATGTATGCTGTCTCTGTTCTAAGTAGGTTATTAACTATGTCTTGTGAGCGGCTTTGCTAAATGTAGATTTTGTCAAGATTTTTTGTCAGTGCATTTCTCGCGAACAGGCTGTTGATGTGTCAACAGCCTTTAACAGTCCACTGCTGGACATAAACCTCTCCTTAGAAAGGAGGTTTAGGCCTACTATACCACGCTGGCTAGACGGGTTGTCTTGACTTAGTCGGCTCTTACGACACCCACGGGATGAATAGGGGTGGTGACACTCTGTATTCTTAATCCGTCACCACACGGATGCGAACGCGTGCTTATCTGGATGAAAGTAGTACTTAAGTACTATGGCCCTTTCTGACCCTCAATAACGTGAAAAGAATTTACTCGTAATAATAATGAGAAGAATATCACATCAACAGCCTTTAATAGTCCACTGCTGGACATAGGCCTCTCCTTAGAAAGAAGGTTAATGAGAAGAATATAAAGAAGAATATTAGTTAGGATAAACCGATGGAGAGAGCTATACTCATATAAGGATGGGCCGGCTCAAACCACTTCCCAAATTCTAGAAGAGAGTGAGAGTGTATTTGTGTCTCTTGGGTTGCAAGAGTCTCTGGGCGGCGATAGTAACTCACCATCAGGCGATACGGCTCGTCCGCTATCCCATGAAAAATATATTTTAGAGATCACAGACTAATATTTATTTTTTCTTTTCAGCGTTGACCGTGCGATTCCTAACCAAGCGCTACATTGGCGAATACGACCATCAGCAAGGTGGGTACATCGTCATAACACTTTCTGATCAGTTCCTCTTCATCAAAAGTTGAAACGGTACCTTCTTTAGAAAAATTGAATAAAATAACGATCTGTGACGTCATACTTTTAAATTGTCAAATGAATTACTTTTTATTTTACGTTTAACTTATGTTTAACAAGGAAAATATAATGTTATTACAAATTATATAGGATAGACTACTCAGTGTTGCCCGGGTACTAAAATTCAGTGTAAAAAAATAGTTATTAAAAATGGCTGAGTAACATTTTTATTTTTGTTGGTACTGTCTCTTTATTGATGCATTTACTTATTTGATAGTTTTAGAGTTTTTATAGCGTTAGGAACAAAAAGTGATGAAACTTGTAAAATTGTTGTTAAAAAGTTTTAAAAAGTTAATCGGCTTATCGTCTGTTCTAAAGAGTCACACAAACTAGGCAAAGCCTGTACTATGCTACCCTTTTTATTTTAACGCCGAGAATGTTTTTCGCACCATACTCTCCATTGGGGAAACGGAGGGCGTGTGTGGGACTGCCGGAGAACCGGTCTACCCCACGGCGGCCTACCTTGGCAGTCAGGAGGAGCTCCAGAAACGCATCAGCGGCTTCTGAAGTCCTCCCTAGTATATCCCATGACTGAGGCATATCTTGGGGTGACCATAATCACCCCTGGGACGAGATGCTTTACACAGTAAGAGGCCTTAGACGACACCCTTCGGCCCCAACGAAGTGTCATCTCTCCCTGGTCGTTTGCAGCGACCAGTAGGCGGCGATTGGGGAGCTAGCGACCTCTGCGGCGTCCCCTTGTACTATGCTAACCTAGACCTACACAAGTTACACCCAGAAACAGAACAAATGATCGCGCTCATCCCACAGTCAATAGTACTGGTTGGGAATCGAACCCACGATTTGTGGTTTAGCAATCAGGACTACTAACCACAACAAAATGCCCGACACAAATATACAACGACACTTTTACGACTGTGTCCAACTAAAGTTTAGTTACCATTAATGACGCTCTCCAAATAAAGGGTAAGGGTTTCTCTAAGGATAAGTGCTATCTATCTAAATGTGTTAAGATACTCTATGATTTTTTTTATCTGAACTTTAAAATTATTTTCAATATTTGTATCATATAATATTTTCACACATCTCACACACGGCCGTCTGGTCCCAAACTAGGCAGAGACTGTACTATGGTAACCAGACTGCTGATAAACTTACTAATATATTTCTGAATACATACATATTATAAATAAAGTACACCCAGACACAGAACAAATGACCGTGTTCATCACACAATTATTTGTCCTGGGTGGGAATCAAACCTACGACCTCTGGCGTAGCAGTCAGGGTCACTAACCACTAGACCAACAGGCCAGTCAATCCAAACGACATTTAGTACCTAGTTGATTGAAATATCATGAACCTACAGTTTCAGACGATGTTTAATGTATTGGCACATTATTTTTGTTATTTTGTTTATGAAACGGGTTTTCGTCTGCGGTATTGCCGGACCGATACGACTTTTAAACCTTCAAGAAAAGAGCGTACTTCTTCCTAAAAGGCCGGCAACGCGTTTGTGACTCCTGAGTTGCAGACGTTCATGGGCTGCGATGGTCACTTTAAATCAGGTGACCCGTCTGCTCGTCTGTCCCCTCTAACATAAAAATAACATAAAATGTGAAAGAACTGTGATTTTTATGTTATTTTTATGGTATTTTTGTTACAGACAGTAAATACAAGCACGAAGCCTTATTGGACGGCGAGCCCATCTTATTCGAGATACTAGACACATGTCCCAAGGTCAGTAAATAATGAATTAAAAAAATTGACTGATGAACTACTATATAACAACATTATCATCATCATCTCAGCCGAAAGACGTCCACTGCTGGACATAGGCCTAAAAACACACATTGTAATCCTTGGTGACATAAATATAGACATTGGCGAAAATAAAAAAGATGCTGATTCGACTTTATATGTACTTGGATATGATGGCATACCATGGTATTCAATCGGGCTTACACTCTTTAATGGGCCTAATCCCACCCACACGCCCACCACTGTAACTCCTGTACACCAGGATCCACAGCAGTGACCCACGAACACACCGATTTATATCACTCGGAAGTCCCAGGAAATAATTTAATGTGTTGGAACCCGCAACAAAACAAATCAGAAGAAAATTTGAGGAGTTGGAAAAAGTTGGTCAAAAGCGCGAGACAAAATGAACTAATATAAGCATACACCCTTTTAAACAAGTAAGCACCACGGCCAGAAAATATAACGGACACAAGATCCCCATACTATACCGCCCAGAGGTCACCTGTAAGGTATTCAGCATTATATTACGTTCATTAGACCAAAAACTACATTTTTTTTTATTTGCCAACCAAGTGTACTTCCACTACTACTAAACTAAGCAGGACAGCAGCACTGCAAAGAGAAGGAAAACTTGAAACAAACCCTATACCAACCCGTCCTGGCCAGCGTGGTATAGTAGGCCAAAACCTCCTTTTTAAGGAGAGGCCTATGTCCAGCAGTGGACTAGTATAGGCTGTTGATGATGATGATGATGATGATGATGATGAAGTGTACTTCAATGATCTTATAATATTATATGTAGTAGTCCCAACTTAGAAGCCTTTTCCAGGCATTGCAAAAATTTGAGAGAGAACGCAGAAGAATAAATTGTTACACAAGTACAAGCATTTTTTGAACAATACAAATTAAGTGACTCAGTAGTATAGTATAACAATAGAACAAACCATGCAAAAATACGAAGGCACCTGACATTCTACATCGACACAGTTTCCTACTCTCCCTAGCATTACCGTGCATCAAGACCGAATTTTCTTTTATGTTTTGCACTTAAGTATATGCTTTCTGTTTTCCGTGTAATAAGAAGTGCGGTGTGCCCGGGTTCGATTCTCGCGTTGGAGCAAATGTTTATATGATCTGCAAATATTTGTTTCGGAGTTTGGGAGTTTCCTATGTTTTTACAAAAGAAAAGTATATAAGTATTCTATCAGTCAATCTTGCTATCATAGTACAAGCTCTGCTTAGTTTGAAACTAGATGGCGTTGTTTGTTAGATGTCCGAAATATTATATTATTATATAAATTTATCTACAGTATGTATATGTTCAGAAATATAGGTATATTTAGAAGAAAATGTTAATCAGTAGCGTGGTTAGACACATTATAAAATGTGCCTAGTTGGGGATTAAACAGCAGTCAAAATGTCTCACTGTATTATTTATTTCACTACAACTAAGTAACTAAACAACTCTTTATGTTTTTCATTTAAAACTTACATAATCGAAATGATTATATTACTGTAGTAAATATGAATCACAATGAAACAGTATTCCACTAAAATATAATTCAATCAACTAAAGTAAACAAAACATTACGTCGTAAAACAACCGTTTAAATCTTTAGAATCGACTATTAAAAGTTTGTAAGTAAAAAATGTTTTACAGAAATAGAAAACATAAATCTATTACAACGAGAAAGATACTCGTAAAGAGATGTACATTGTTTACCAAGACGCAATTTCTCATTGTTATATCATCCTCGTATCATGCTTGGATGCATATCTTTGGTGATATATATACCAATGATTTGTCGTGTTAGTTTACTTCAATGGAGTGTTCCATATAAATAATTCAGATTTTATTTGTTAACTTTAAAAATAAACACCGAATTTATTTTAATGAACTTAATGTATTCTTCGCTCGTTAAAGTTCTACCGCCAGGGTTGGTGTGTTTCCTTCCAATTGGAGTGGAATCAAACGTAAAGTGTACTCTCCCAAATAAACAAAGAATTTTCCAAATCGCTTGACTACATGACGGAGTTCTGAGTGAATACACATGTCTATGTGGTAACAGATTAAGAATACAGAGTGTCACCACCCCTATTCATCCGTGGTATCGTAAGAGCCGACTAAGGGAGCAAACTACGCAGGACAACAGCACTGCAGAGAGAAGGAAAACTTGACGCAAACACTATACCAACCCGTCTGGCCAGCGTAGTATAGTAGACCAAAACCTCCTTTCTAAGGAGATGCCTATGTCCAGCAGGGGACTATTAAAGGCTGTTGATGTGATGTGATGTGACACATAAAAAAATGCAACTATATGGAGCACCTACTTAAGCAGTTTATTTGAAGTCTTTTCAAAACACTATCTGACCCTACAAACGAAGTCCACCTATCTCAAAAGGAATAAATTTGCCCCCTTTTTGGAACATTTTCGTCGATCCCCAGCATTATGTTGTATAGCCTTCCTCGATAAATGGGCTATCCAACACTAAAATAATTTTATCAATTCGTACCAGTAGTTCCTGAGATTAGCGTGTTCAACCAAATAAACAAACGAACTTTCCAGCTATATATAACACTAGCTGACCCGCGCAACTTCGTCTGCGTCTCTCAATAGTAATAAATTTTCTCCGTTTTTGAATCATTTTTCATTGGTGCTCCGCTCCTATTGGTCTAAGCGTGATGATATATAGCCTATAGCCTTCCTCGATAAATAGGCTTTCTAACACTGAAAGAATTTTTTAAATCGGACCAGTAGTTCCTGAGATTAGCGCGTTCAAACAAACAAACAAACAAACAAACTCTTCAGCTTTATAATATTAGTATAGATTAGTATGGCTTAACTGACTGCACGGATGGCGTAGTGGTTTAAGCGGTCGCCACGCCGCTTCCTACTACGCCGAGTGTTGTGGGTTCAAACCCCACATGGGACGACACTTTGTGTGATCCACAAATTGTAGTTCTGAGTCTGGGTGTTCTTTGTGTCCGTTTCATGTATGTTTGTAAAGTCCCCCGCGACACAGGATTTATTCCTAATGCGGGAGTTCTTTTTTCAAAAAAAAAAAAAATAGTGTAAAATAAGCACAACACTCTGTACCCACGACAAGATTTGCAGCAGTGCTCGCAGGGAAGACCTGATATAACATGGTCCGGGTCCTCCAAGAATAGGACACCTAAGGCAGGCCGTCCTGGTGGTTTTTAGTAGAATCACCACATACTACTGACTCATGAGCCCCCGAGGACCAAGAGATCAAAAGGGATTTTCCACCCCGTCATCAAAAAAAAGGCTCTCTCTCAAATTCAAGCAGAAACCAGTTTCTCACACATGGTCCAATACCAAACTGTACTCTGGGAACCAGACTACTGATAAACATACTTACTTATTTATTTCTATAATATATTGTACATATTATAGACTAGCTGACCCGCGCAACTTCGTCTGCGTCTCTCAATAGTAATAAATTTTCTCCGTTTTTGAAACATTCTTCATTGGTGCTCCGCTCCTATTGCTCTTAGCGTGATGATATATAGCTTATAGCCTTCCTCGATAAATGGGCTATCTAACACTGAAAGAATTTTTCAAATCGGACCAGTAGTTCCTGAGATTAGCGCGTTCAAACAAACAAACAAACTCGTCAGCTTTATAATATTAGTATAGATACAAAAACATTTTATTGTTAGATTTATGCTCATTATTCTGTGACAGTAATTTTGGCGCCAAACAAACAAGGAAATGAATTGGGTAAAGCTTTTTTTTTTTGTAAAAAGTTTTGGCGCCGACTCAAAACTTACTTACAATAATTTAGAAGTTTAGTTAACAACACTTGTAATTTCGCCATTGCCAGTTTTTTTTGTTTTCCTTGATTTTTATAGTATCATGTTTTGTTATTCTGAATGAGCTACGAAGCATATAATAATATGCTTTACCCCTAAAATTCCTATCGTTGAAGGTTATAAATGTCACGCGACAGCGAAAACCTTACGCAAATATCCTTTTTTTTGTAAATACATACGTATTATACATAAAAAACACCCAGACCAAATCAAACATTAAATGTTCATGAACAAATGTTTGACCTTGAGGGGGAATCGAACCTGCGACCTTTGGAATAGCAGTCCGTTACACAAACCACTACGCCATTCGGTCGTCAAAATAATAATCATCATCATAAGTGTAATAATAATATTTGATAATAATTAATAATATAATAAACATACACATACACACGGCCGTTTGCTCCCAAATTAGGCAGAGCCTGTACTATGGTAATTAGACTGTTGTAACATGTTTAAATATTTCTAAACACATGTATATTATAGACTAGCTGACCCGCGCAACTTTGTCTGCGTCTCTCAATAGTAATAAATTTTCTCCGTTTTTGAAACATTCTTCATTGGTGCTCCGCTCCTATTGGTCTTAGCGTGATGATATATAGCCTATAGCCTTTCTCGATAAATGGGCTATCTAACACTGAAAGAATTTTTCAAATCGGACCAGTAGTTCCTGAGATTAACGCGTTCAAACCAACAAACTCTTCAGCTTTATAATATTAGTATAGAAAAATTACTTCTAGGAACAAATGATCTTGCTCATCATATAATTATTTGTCCTGGGTGGGAATCGAATCCACGACCTCTGGCACAGAAGTCACGATCACCAACCACTGGACTAGAAGGCCAGTCGCACATGTTCCATATTTGTATTTCACTTAAGCGCTGTCGTACCCTTCAGCCTGATCAGCATTCACTTTAATATTCTTTGTTACCAGGGACACAGTAAAGGACAGAGACAATTTAACCAAAAAAAATGTCCCGGGAATCAAAACATTAAATTTACTTTCATCATCATCATCAACAGCCTGTAACAGTCCACTGCTGGACGTAGGCCTCTCCTTAGTAAGGAGGTTTTGGCCTACTATACCAAAATTTACTTTAACTCGGGTTAAACCGTCGGCAAAATGCATGCAACATAACATCATTTTACCTTTTTCATCATCAAAAGCCTTTAATAATTCACTGTTGGACCTACATAGGCCTTCGTTTAGAAAGGACATTTTGGCACGTCACCGCACGGATTGCATTTTACCAAATTTATTTAGGGTCGGCGATCTCTAGTATAAAAATGTGTTTGTTTCAATTGCTTTTATAATAACACATTGTTCAATTAAATATAAAAGGTAAGAATGAATTCTGTCTATGTCTGATAACTATGTGCATATTATGGTTGTAGTTGATTCGATGCCAACATACCACGTTACGATGATCCCCGGTGTGATGACACGGCGTTATTACTTTGATGGCATTGTTTTGGCAATAAGTTCCGTCAGGGTTTAGATATACTCGACCAGCTACAACTAGTTAAATTGTGTTCTAGAACGTTTATCATCATCAACAGCCTTTAATAGTCCACATAGGCCTCTCCGTAGAAATGAGGTTTTGGGATACTACACCACGCTGGCCAGACTGGTTGGTATAGGGTTTGTTTAAGTTTTTCCTTCTCTCTGCAGTGCTGTTGTTCTGTGTAGTTTGCTGCCTTAGTCGGCTCTTACGACACCCTCGGGATGAATAGGGGTGGTGACAGTCTGTATTCTTAATCCGTCACCACACGGAAACTTGATCGTTAACTGTCTATTTTATACTCGCTTGTGTTCGCGGCTCCCCCGCGTGTATGTCCGTTATCGCGGTAAGGTAGCCTATTAACGCCGATAATGTACCTTTCCATTGGTGAAAGATTTTTTAAATTAGTTCAGTGGTTTAGGTGTGAAAGCGTATCAAGCAAACGAACTCTCGTTCACATTTAAATATAAATCTGGATACCTAATGGCTTCACGCGGCGTCCATGTGCATGGCATGCATGTACTATTTCACATTGCCCAACTATGTGATAAATATTCGTTTTGTGGCCACTCCCACATACGATGAAACAAATAAACATACTACAGCGCCATCTAACGAAAACACACCGAACTACGGAGTTACTACTGGAATTGCTAATCCTGTATCGCAATATAAGGAATTCTCTACATCAACCGTTGGGCCGCCGGCGCCGCCCGCCAGGCATGATCACCTCGCCTGGTCGGAGGATCCCCTTTGTGTTGGAAGGACACGACACCCGATCCTCCACAGTTTTTTTTATAATATAAATAAATATATCAAAGATGGATCTTTACAAAATGTCTGCTGTATGTGGAAGAGGCGGGCCAGGATCGTGGCAAATTTCATTTAATTGTCTCTGCTTAGTTCGAATGAGAATGAGGCGTGTGTGTTAATATATTATATAAGTGTTACTGTCTTGTGAGAATAAAGATTTCTGAAATAAAACCTATAAAATAAACCGAGACCGATTTAACTTGTAACGAAAACTATAATTAGGTAATTACGCGTTACAAATTCGATAGTTACGACGTAGTTCAGCTAGTGCTCACTAGATGGCGCTGGTTGTTGGTGTGTCTCGCCTCAGTACTAATTAATCGTTTTGTTATATGTTCTAGAGTATAGAAGAGTTACCAAGCAATGAAATAGCACAATGGGCGGATGGCTTGTTCCTGGTGTATTCAATAACGGACCGAGAGTCGTTCAACTATGTGCGGCGCGCCAAGCAGAGCCTGCAGCCTGAGATACCCCTGACACTGGTTGGAAATAAAGCTGACATGGTGCACTTAAGACAGGTAATGGTCTGACTTTTATGCGTTTTTATATCTATCTCTTTCCCAATTGACTGCACGGATGGCGTAGTGGTTTAAGCGGTCGCCACGCCGCTTCCTACTACGGCGAGTGTTGTGGGTTCAAACCCCACATGGGACGACACTTTGTGTGATCCACAAATTGTTGTTCTGAGTCTGGGTGTTCTTTGTGTCCGTCTCATGTATGTTTGTAAAGTCCCCCCGCGACACAGGATATATTCCTAATGCGGAAGTTGTCTTTTAAAAAAAAAAAAAATATATAGGAAGATGGGAATCCACCTGCCGGTATTGTTGACGACATACAGTACACAGTACTATTTGCGTAGTGCAATTTTTTTAGTTATCTCTGTCTTTTTTTATTTATCTGTCTTCTATAAAGGGATATGCCGCAATATTAAACATACATAGTCTATTGTGTTTCTTATAACTGTTAGTTTTGAAGTACCAAAATAAACGTCACTGATAAAAATATCACAGGTGATTTTTAAACCGACTTTAAATAGTAGGAGGGTATATGTTCCACTGTATGTATTTTTTTGCTTTGTTGATACTACGCCTCAATCATCGTCTCATACGTTTATCATCATCATAAACAGCTTTTAATAGTCCACTGCTGGATATAAGCGTCTCTTAGAAAGGAGATTTTGGCCTACTATACCACGTTTACAGTTCGTGGAAAATTTGGTCAGTCGACTCTCTACGAGAAAAGACACGCCCCAACATTCATTTAAACAGTCGCTATACAATTTTTGATTAATGAGGACGTATTATATTTACATCTATATATTTATCCCCGTATATCTGTGTAGTGTAACATCTTGCAACCGACTACAATTTAATTTTTTTTTTTCATTATACACCTACCACAAACAAATCTCTGCATCGCCCCAAGGTTGACTGGAAGAAAATGCCTATGGCATTAAGTCCGCCTTATGCAATGTATTTGCAGGAAGTATAAATAAAATAAAAAAAAATACTTTGTCGTCCACGCGACAGGCAGCTTGGAATGCTCGCGTGATATCTCAAGACATCTGGGTAGTGTGGACGAGTCAAATGTCGAATGATAATGTCCCACGAAGACAGTGTAATGTAAATGTCTATATTGTGAATCAATCTGTCCCTTACTACCCTTTTTTGAAAATAATATCTGTATAATAAATCTCTCTTGTTTATAAAATTTATAAACTTATCGATAACGTTAATATTAAAGATGCAATTTAGTATTTTTTTTTAATTTTGGTGATATAATCTTCTGTCTTAACTTTTATTAAGTTAAATTTGGCTTTACTTTAGTTAAACGCGTTAATTAATTTCTAGACATTATTTATTTATTTATTTAGATCTGGATCTTTAGGAACTAAGCAAATGACAGTAAATGTGAAAGATTATGAATACTATCAAATACTCATGAACGTTTTGATGTTCATAAAATGACTGCCTTCAATATATTGCAATGTCATTACATCAACAGCTTTTAGTCCTCTGCTGGACAAAGGCCTCTCCTTAGAACGGAGGTTTTGGCCTACTACTATACCACGCTGACCAGACGGGTTGGTTATAGGGTTAGTTTCAAGTTTTTCATCTCTTTGCAGTGCTGTTGTCCAGCGCAGTTTGCTCCCTTACTCGCCTCTTACGACATCCACGGGATGAATAGGGGTGGTGATACTCCGTATTTCTTAATCCGTCAGCACACGAATTCTGCTATATAGCGTGTACAATGCTACTTGTGTACGTATACTGTGCCCATAATAAAGAAATGACTGTTTTCTTTTAATGTAGGTTAGCCCCGAAGAAGGTGAAATCCTAGCCAAAGATTTCGAATGCAGCTTCGCCGAGGTGGCAGCGGCCGAGCAAGTTAACCAAGTAGGAGAAGTGTTCCACGAACTTTGCCGGGAGGTCCTCACACATCGACGGCGGGCGAAACACAGCTTACTCGACAGAATGCTGGGCTCAAAGAGTGCTTACCGGGTGTATTCTAGAGGCAAGAGTGATAGCGCCCTCCCTAAAGATTAGCTGCATTTAATTGTGAATTGAACCGTTACTCTTACTGCTTTTCAAGAAGACTACTTGAAGAATAAACCACACTTGAATAGTCTTCTTGGTTCTTCTTAGTTTCGCGTCTGTACTGTATTGAGTTGGTTTAGAACTGGGAATATTATATTGCAAGTCAACATCTTAGCAATTGGGAGACCACTGCTTCGGATGTTTGTTGTCTAGTTCACGTATGCCTTAATAACTAAGTGGATTTTGATTCAGCTTTCACATGGTGCATTAGTTGGTTGTAGGGTTTAAAGGAAAAAAATAGTAGTAAAATGAATTATCTGTAACGATGGAAGACAAATTATATCACCACTAAAAGCTTTTAAAAGTTATATGCACTGCACGGATGGCGTAGTGGTTTAAGGGGTCACATCGCCGCTTTGTACTGCGCTGAGTGTTGTAGGTTCGATCCCCGCATAGAACAACACTTTGTGTGATCCACAAATTGTTGTTTCGAGTCTGTCTGTTATTTGTGCCGTTTAATGTATGTTTATGTTTAGTTTCGAATGCTTTGTCACAGTATGAGTTGTAACAATTCAGCATAATATTTTATGTTTTCCTACAAGAGATACACAGCATAAGGTGTACGCCCGCATACATATTTAAGGATATATGTACATACATATTAAAGTCTTTTCCACTTTTTGCCCCGCACAACCAATCTGTGTAACGGGTTATCGTCTGCGGTATTTCCGGACCGATACGACCTTCAAACTTTAAGAAAAGAGCGTACTCCTTCCTTAAAGCCGTCAACGCGTTTGTGACTCCTGAGTTGCAGACGTTCATGGCGGCGATAGTCACTTTCCATCAGGTAACCCGTTCTGCTCGTCTGCCCCCTCTAACATAAAAAATAATATATTGATACTATTCTTTGAGTTTCTATGGGTAACCCTTGAGACTGCTATAACTAAATAATAAACATAATGTTCGACCAAATTTTAGTCCCTAGTGTTCACCATGGGTCTTTACAACCACCAATAGCGATGTATTTTTACGTAAAATGCTGATAAGAACACGCTACAGTATTAAATTTTACAATTAATCATAAAACTTACAATACACTGACATTATAATACATGGAAATAAATTCGATTTTTATTACATCGTGTGTAGATTAAATCTCAAACAAATAAATCTGAAGATATCGAGTTAGTACATCGTGTCATGTATAGCCGAGCGCATCACCCGCCCCCGCGTCCCCCAAACCATCAGGAGGGCCAAGCTTACGGCGGTTTAACTATAGTATAGTTTTATTTCTTTTATTGTAATCGTATATTAAAACTGGAATTCCTCAAATTGTCATCATCATCATAAATGGTAAAAAAAATATGAATTTTTACTATTCTACTTCTTTTAGATTAGAAACTCGAATTGGATGTCATTTTTACTAGACTGCGCGAGAAGGAGTTGTTTTTCGAGTGTATGTATATATGTATATTTCTTTGACACGCTTGTTAGGGGCCAAGTGCGAGTTTATTTCACTTCTACTCGATCGTCACGGTGATTCCACGTCACGGCGTTGCGCCTGAAATCTCCACCAATCGCAACGCTAAACACGCTGGCCGTCGAGACCGAGTGGATGTGATATAAACTTTAACTCAGCCCTCTGTAGTGTAAACGACTTGATTGATTTTGGATTAGGGAGTGAGAGTGAGTGACCCTGGGTAAATGGAAATTATAAAAATTCAAATCACCGTTTTGTAAATTATAAGTACCATACACTTTTACGCAGTCGGTTTTTTGTTCTTTTTCTCACTAATTAGCTTGTTTAAAGATGAAATAAAATTATAAATGTCTTTTAAAAACGTTATTGTTAGAAATATTCAGGATAAGTCAGTCATGAGGCTAGTTGCCTGTTAGGTTACTTGGATCCTATCGAAAATATCAGAAAAGAAACTCAAAAGACCCTTTTTTTTCGACATGTTTTTTTACAATTCCACATTCTATCGAATGTCAATTTCTCTAGTCAATATTTACAAGTTTTAGTGATAAATATACAAAACGATAATGTATATACTATTAAAATATTGTATTTCTAAGACGGCAAGTCGAATGCTGTCCTTGAAGAACGGACAATTGTGCCGTATCTGTTGTTAGAAACTAACATCCTCATTAACACTTAGTTTGGCACAATTTAAATTAATTAAGTTATAAAACTTAGTCCATACTTCATTTTTTAAGACGTAAAATGGAATACCCACAGTTTTCTTTTGCACGTCTTGAACTTCTAAAATACTAACAAATTCTATTCGATTCTTGAGAAAAACAAAAGAAAATTGAGATGTCATTTCAGTTAATAAATTAAGTAATATCACAATCAAAGTTGGAATTAGTTTAATAAATTCAAATCGATCCCAAAACAGCATAGATAAATATCTGAAAATTAATGTATATACAACAGAATCGGCCACTAATTTCCTTTTTATTATGGTTTTTTTTTTGCGCTGCCGTACCGTAAAAGAGAAATACTTCGAAAAACTGTTCTAGGCCCCTAAGAGTTTGCCCCCATATGCCATAAAAAACAAGTTTACAGAAAAGGTATCATTCCTATAGGAAAATAGACCCCAATTGATGGGGAATAGCTACTAATTCTGATTTTAAAAGCTTGCTTTTGCGCTTCAATGGAAGCAATATGTAGCAGACATAATAAAGTCATTGTCAGTCAATGTTAGAGTAACTTAAGCTAAATAATTATTGTCGTAAGTTACAGTATTAATGTGTAACTAGTCATATTGTCATATACCTCTAGGTTTTACAGGAGAAAGGGTACAGCTCATTTCTGTCTCGTAAGCTCTACCTACTGTCGCTAAACAAAATAAAAATATTAGCGCGTTGAGCTTCCATGTTTGTCTCTATTATACTCGTATTAAATCGAGGTCGAAAAACAAATTTCCCGATTCGTATTCATTAAAAAAATATCTTTTTTGGTATTAGAATAAGGTTTTTTTCCAGACAGGGGTGACATATCTTTATGTACGTACAAGCCATTTCTTTAAAGGAATGTCTAATGAGGGCCGTAGGCGTGGCCTCAAATTATAATGATTTCGTGATTATTGTGATAAGGAAAATACTAAATATTATTAACTTTTTTTTATACACACACTCATAACATAACACTCTTTATTTAATAACAAAAATACATTAGTAATGCTGTGAATTACTCTCCTTGTGGATTTTAGTACTAGTATATTAGATCTGTGAACTGCTTTAGAACTAATGGGCAAGCTTGACCATACCATGATACCATAAAAAAACCGGTGTTAAATAATTTTTTGTTGATTTTCACCGAATGAGTGAGGTCCGTGTGGTGACGGATTAAGAATACAGAGTGTCACCACCCCTATTCATCCCGTGGGTGTCGTAAGAGCCGACTAAGGGAAAAAACTAAGCAGGACAACAGCACTGCAGAGAGAAGGAAAACTTGACGCAAACCCTTTACCAACCCGTCTGGCCAGCGTGGTATAGTAGGCCAAAACCTCCTTTCTCAGGAGAGGCTTATGTCCAGCAGTGGACTATTAAAGGCTGTTGATGATGATGAGTGAGGTTACTGGAGCCCAAACTCCTCCTCCCTCTGATTCTCAGGTGATGGACTCAAAGGGCGACTTGTGGCTCGTGAGTTGAAGGTGTCTATGGACGGCAGCAGTTGCAATGCATGTAGAAGGCCTCTCGAATTCTCGAAATAAAAGTTCGAGATAAACTTTCGAACTTACAACTGTCATTTAAAGTATTTTCGTAGTAAAATATTAGGTCTTTAGGGCGCGTTGTCGTGAAGGAGCAGTGGGGGGACGACCGATTGACCAAAGCTGGTTGCAGATGTGACCACCAGACCTTGCACCTACCGACTATTACTTTTTCCAAAATTTAGACAACTTTTTAGTGGGTAAAAAATTCAATTCCCGAGAGGCAGTACAAAATGCCTTTGAAGAGTTTGTTGCCTCACGTCCAGCTGATTTTTACAAGATAAATAAACTGCCAATGCGTTGGCAAAGATGCGTCGATTGCATGGGTGATTACTTCGAATAACAGAAATAAAAAAGTTTGAAAAAATAAGTACTTTCACTTATTGTATACAAAACGGCAATTTCATAGGTAAAGACCTATTATTAAAGTATTACTAAGACTAGCACATTCCCGATTCTATTTTCGATTATAATACGATATAATCACATTACAGTTAACGTTGGATGTTTAATACTTTACTAAGAAAATACCTTTTATGACAGTCGTGCGATTGAAAGTTGATCGAAACTGAATTGAGACCGAACTTTTATTACGAGAATTGGCATTCTGAACGGTTCATCTGTCAAATGGTTTCTAAGCGAGTCTTTGAGTTCATACGTTCTCGCGTTCCTTCCAAGTATAAAATACTTTATAGAAAACTTTATGATTGTTACCATGCCACAAATATTGCGTCGCATGCCACCTTTCATTCGCTATCCATGTGTTTAAATATATCAAAGTTACATAGTTGGCAATACATTGCCAAAATCCGCTTAATTAGAGTGTAGTGCACACAATCCGATCATAAATTACAGCAACGATTATAAGGTATACTGTACTGTAATATTAGTACTGGCTCAACAGAAGCTTCTAAGTCATTCACCGTTCGTCTCTATGGGTAGAGTAAATCACAGTATCTACCAAGTGCGGAGGTATTACACCCCTCGCTATTCCGAGACGTCTTTGAGGACCTTAGAGGAGCTCCCTTTGTGTCGTGGACTGCACGAATTTAACATAATAGTTAATTAAACCGAATATCTATGGTGAATATTGTTGGTTTCTGTTCCAGCTGCAACAATCAATGAAGGAATAAAATCATAACATCTGACGCGATAGAAATGTAAAATGGATGTACGAGTAATTTTTATGTACATGTAATTTTTATTTTTTAAACTATATGATTTTGTAAATTAATTTTAGTTTTCCTATAATTAGTTTCAAGTAATATATACGCATTACAGTTAGGCTGTTTT